TTTGTTGTTTGATGTGAGGGTTACATGGTAATGTAAGGAGATGGATGAAGTGAGATCTGGAAGAATTGAAATGCAAATTAATGCTCAGCCTTTATTAATTTGCATAGCAATTGTTTAGGTGACTCAACAAGGACAATAGTTTCTTCTTTGTGTAAGACTTTGGCATAGAAATGCTGGCTGACAAGTACTGTATGTAGGCAATCAAGTTTATAAAGAGACAAGAAGGTGGAGAAATCTTCAGAGGGACTCTGTTTTAAAAATCAACAGAAATTAAGGTAGATGGAGTTTCTGCAGGGGGAACTGGGAAAGTCAATTGTAAGAAGATTGTCAAGGAGATGAGGGAGAAAGGAAGTCTGAATTATTTGAAGTCTGAAATTATTTATTAAGGATCCAGCAGAGTTTCGGCTAGAGTCTTAAAATGTTATAGTTGTTCCTACAGCCAAAGGTTAAACGAACTGCAAAATATTTTTTTTTCCACCAGTAAATGCCAAAGAGATACCATAAATCATGGTCGAGAGGCATTATTTTGAAGGCATTGGATTCAAAATCTGCTGCTTTTCTTAAGAGTTTTGCTGACATTTAACATTGCATGGTTAAAAGTGTTCCTTTTGACCAGTCAGGTTTTGATTTAAACTATTCACTCTAAAAATAATCACATATTTCATTTGTAATCTAAGAAAATGGGACAACATTGGAAGGGGGTGAATGATCTTACTGCACTACACAATTCCTTGTTTCCATATTAACGCAGCTATTCTTACCAATAGATTTATTTGGAATGTTAAATCTGACATGAGCTATTTGCATGCATTTCCTTTTTGATTTACAAAAATTACACAAATATGTAACATTTCTGTTTATGATTGTTCTCATTAAGTCTTATATTTGATTTTTTTCTGAGAACACGTGGAGTTCAAATTTGCATGCAAAAGGTAGAAACAAAATGTTTTTAGTGCAACTGTGATGTCTTCAGATGATTAATTATGATGACAATTTTGATGTTACAAAATTCTTAAATGGAAATTTTATTAGAAGTAAAATTGATCAGCTTTAGTATGAAATTCATTGGAGCTACAGTATATGCTAGGTTTATTAGATACATTGTTTGCCATTTCTGCTTGAAATAATTAATTGCACATGATTTCTGAGGAACAAGTACTTGCAGTTTTAGGTTTGTTTTTCCTATTTTACATTTTGCATGTATTATGTCTCTTTTTGTTTCAAGATGGATTTTGTCAAGTCAGAGGGACACAATAGTTTCATTTCCGAGATGTCTACTCTTTTTCAATGTCTTACATATCATTTTCCTAGTTCACCAATAAATCTGTCACTATCTGACAGTCTTCTCAAATTCTCGTGTGTTGCTTGGATTTTTCCAGGATATTTTGTGTTCAGCATAAAATGTTGACATTTGAGTAGTAATAGGCATAATACATTACTTACAAGGATAAGAGTAATATAACTGCCTTGACTTAAATGTTAAATGTTGATGGATTTCAAATAAATATGCAATCATTAGTTCTGGTTTCAATTACACATGTGAAATAACACCGTGAAATATTAGTACTGTGATTAAAAATAGATGACAATATAAACGTTTTTCAGTACCCTCCATTCAAATAATTTGTCCACTTACATTCTTATAGGAAGCAAAGGAGATTTAAGTACTAAATTGTTTGGAATATGGGGCCCTGTGTGCCACAGAACACTTGACTAAAATGTTTTTTCTGTTATTTTTAGCAAAACATATTGTAAATCATGTACAAGGTTCTACTTGGTAAACCTTTGTCATTGTTGTCGAAATGTGGTAACTTTTACATAATCCATGTTCCTGTCATAAATTAACAAGGAAAAAAGGCATCCACCAGATTTATTGAGTGTTTATTTTTTCCATTTCATTTGGCATGCTACAAGAACAAAATGTGTCAGTTAAACACAAAGCTTTTTTACAAAGAGAAAAGACTTGTGTTTGACAGTTGGCAAAATGAATGAAACACTCTCACTTCAGTGAAATGGAAGGATAATTAATTGCTGCAGGAATGGCTTAACACTGCTTTGGGATAATGACTTCAGTAAAATGTTAATTCTCTGCTTTCCAGTATTCACTAACCATTTAAATGTTTATTATTATGTGAATTCATGTAGTGTAAATGCAAAAGTAATAATTCTCCTATCAAATAGACTTTTGGAAATCGTGCATTTTTCTTGGTTTGTTTTATGATAAAGTTTCAGCAAAATGACTAATTAAGTGAAATGTATTACAAAGTTCACATTACCAATTATCAGGACTAGTGTGAAACCATAGTTTGGACAAAAACTATTCCAGTACAATTTTAAGCACTGTTTCATAAACAAGTGACACAAATGTAGTCAATTTAAATAATTTATTTACCACTACAGCACCACAACATTACATGTTACAATATATTGGAAACAAACAAGCATTGTTTTATTATTTTTACTGGATTGATTCCATGCCCTCCATTTATCTTTCATCTTCATAGCAGGGAATATTGGTTAAGCCCTAAACCTTTTTTTTCTAAGTGCTATTTTTAACTTTTGTATTTTAACAAGGGGTAAAACAGCAATGAAAAAACAAAACAAAATTAGAAATATATTTTTTAAAGCATTATAAGGAAAAAAGCATGAATGTTCTATCAGTGCAATTTTTGAATCAAACAAACTTATCCCAAATAAGAAAAAAACACAAGGGAAGTCATTAAACAATAGGAGAGAAATGAAAGCACAAAACATTTTGCTGCGCCCAGCGCAATCAAAGAAAATTCTGCATTTTCCATGTTCACCTGAATCTAATAACACAAGCAGTCATGCAATGCTTTGCGTAACCTGGGTTGTGCACATTTGTGCTTTTTTCAGAAGTAACATTCTTTACTGTAAAGTTTTTAATGTACATTGAATTAATCTTTTTATTATTACTTCTGCAAATGTTTGTCCAAGCCTAAAAGAGATGTGTTGACCTTATTTTCCATGCATGCCACAGTAGACTTGCAGCTAAATAAAAACACAATCCACAGAGATGTGAAACACCAGATAAAAAAGACATTTTTTACATCCAAATTGTTTTTAATAGACTACACTGACAGTGCAGCACGGAAACCATTATGATACACACATGAAACATTAATCAATTACATTTTATTTAATAGATGAGCCAGGTTATTGAATTTTCAGTAAGCAATCTATATGCACTTAATTCTCAGCAGAGAATCTAAAATTTGACATGTTTAATTTACATTTTGTCATGAGGACAAGCAGAAAAGATTATATACAGAACTGCCTGTCCAAAACAAGGCCAATACTACTCATCGCACTATGCTAATCAAACACCTAGCTTACAAAAATAGTTTACGAAATCATTACTAACTTTCCACTTGTAACTAACGTGACTACTTTGTTTACTGTACATACAGCACTATGTTTCTGTAATTATCTGTGCTATGAATGGATTCTTTTAAAAGAGACAACTAAAGAAAGCACATCCTCTGTTATACAGACCTAGGGGCTGATGCCTGAATAGGTGCACTGGAAAAACTGAGGCTGCAAAATCCAGTTTGCCTTGCAGTAAAGCAATCGTTTTAGTGCCCTATGTTGGCCTAATAGCTGTAGTATGCTTAAAGACACAGTTTAGGTGTAAATATGATAATAAAGATCATCTTCAGCATTGCAATATTTAGTAATTCCTTTGACAGTCCAGAGCTGTGGTGAAACTGCAGAACAACAGCATTAAGTTTAAAATGAACAAATGAACAAAATGAACAAAAAGCACAGACATAAGCCTGGGTCCTGTATAGACATACTGTAATTTTACGTGTCTAGGTTTCAAGGGGCACTGAGCCCTGTTACACGTGAGCTCCCATTGCAATAGAAGACATACAGATCCACATAAGTGAAGAGAGCCAAAGCTACCAGGAAGACCATGACACAGGCAATGAACAAATGGCGTGACTTCCAGCACAGCGAAATAGGCAATGTGGCACAGGACAGAAAAATTACGATGATAACTGCTAGTATGTGATAAACACTGTATGTCAGTATTTATCATACTATTACTAATTACCATAGTAATATCACCTAATGAACAAAACAAATATCAGTCTAAGACAAATAACAGCACTCCAGCAGTCTGAAGGCCTGTGCTTCTACAATAAATTCCATGTTGTTAGGGGAGATTTCAGGAGAGTGTGGAGCTGCTTAAATGCAAGGCAAATTCCTCACATTGCGTTTTCATGTTTGTGCTTCTTACTCTTACAGATTCCTGCCAGAGATACTCTTTATTCTTCATTTAGGCACGATACCTGTACATCTCAATTTGCAGAATTCAATGTTGATAGATTGAATTAAATAAAGGGTACAGAAAGAAATGGTCAACTAATCTTAGCACAAGCTGGATCATCACTAAGATCCTAATTTGTGCAGCTTTAATAGTAAATGCAATATGGCCAGTGTTGCAGCCACAATTCACTTTGTACCTATCCCCACGGTTTAAATTTACAATATGTCTCTTTGTAGATGGCTTATAGTGTACCAAAAGGGATATGCTTCCAAAAACTTTCCAAGTTAGACTTTTATGATGTCACTTTAAACATGAAGCAACACATTTACATAATTGATATCTTATCTTAACAGATTAAGTTTACACAGCAGAACTGGCATTAATTTTATTTTTAATAGTGCATTCAATACACTCACATAATCAAGTTCTTGGTAACTTACTTTATGTTTAATAGGCTACATGCCAAATCACTGAAAGTTAGTATTACCTATAATTATTAAGAGATTCAGGTGGGTAGCTGCGTCAGCATGCGTAGGCTGCAAAGGAACAAGAAATAGGTTTATTCCATGCTGAAAAAAAGAAGAAAGAAAACACAATGTTTCGGCCGTGGAGCCTTCTTCAGGTGTGACGAAGGCCTGAAGAAGGCCTTCACCTGAAGAAGGCTCCACGGCCGAAACATTGTGTTTTCTTTCTTCTTTTTTTCAGCATGGAATAAACCTATTACTTGTTCCATTATTAAGAGATGCACAACTGGGTGATCTCTATACCTATAAAATATATTTTCAAACTAGGAAGCAACAGTATTAACTAAGGCTTTTCATTTTTTTATGTAATGACTTTTATCTTTGTAAAATGTAGCCATTTGCTTTTTAAATCCAAAATTTGATTTTAAAAGCTAACAAATTGTACTTTGTTTTCAGGACACAGCATGTGACAACATACTGTACCTAAAGGAACAAAAAGGAAAATTCTTGTCCCACGCTAATGACATTTTAGTATACAGTGCTGTGTAAGATACTTAGACATTTTTTTATTATTCTACTCCTTTCATTTTATATTTTCTACATGCAGAGATAGAACATTGCAATCTTCTGACATTTTAGCCATATTTTTAAGATACAGTAAGTCCTAAACCACAATACAGCCTTTTAGCTTTACTGACATGAAAAGAAATACAAATCCTATTAATGAAAAGGAACTTCACAATGGAACAAAATTTGATTGGTAAATGTGATGGGGAAGCTTCACTAAAATCTCATATCAGCTGCTCATATCTAGTTTTCATTGAATTCTTTATGATTTTGATACTGTTTATTAAAGGATTGCTTAATGAGGATCTTGTTTTTTTTTCCTTAATAAAACTAAATTACAGTAATAACACAGTTCTTATAGTAGTAGAACACACAAGTGAAGGCTTCGTGAAAAATGTTGATGCCTATAATATACATAAATTTTATACTGCTATCATGTCAAAGTCCTTTAACAGCAGTGTATACTGTATAAGATAAAACATTTTCCTGTATTTTAACTTGTTTTAATATGTCTCATATTAAATATCTAATTAAATAGGAAATCACATTAACACAGACTCCACACAATTCTCCTAATGCAATTCTGACATAAGTTCCCAAGACATGGACAACATATATATCATAATAAATAATCCTTCTCAAGAATAAAAAAAGCATGATTTATGGAGAAGAATTTGACCCCATGACTAGAAACTGATACATAAGAAATGGTGAAACTAAAAGTCATTGCAGAAAGGAGTCTGGGAAAACGTTCTTGGTAAGCTTTGTTTGAATTTCAATGCATTCTAGAAACTGAGTGATCACAGTAGCACCCTTGTTTTAATGTTATTTTGCCACAGTTTGAGAGTATTTAAAATTATTTTTATTAATTTAACGTGTTAAATCAACAATGTTACCGGTGTCTTTTTTACATAATCACTTCGAAATCACTTCGAAATAGTCCCCTTTCTTCCTTCCAATTGCCATCAGAAAAAATAATGGTGACAATGTTGTACTGGTTACAAGATGAAATCAGCTCCACTCCACATTGGGCCATTTTCTGCTCTTTCAAAAAAGTATTCTTTATTTTGTAGCTACTACATGTTTTTTTTTAGCAAAACGAAGTGCTGTTGAGGAAAATATCAACACTATTCGGTATGAAAAGACAGTCTTTTAAGCAGTGCAACTACTTCTGAGATTTGAAGGCCTTAAAATGTACACTTACTTTTAAGTACTAAACAAATTGGAAATGGGTTTTGTTATTTTAAAAGGGTAGCTCTAAAGATGGAAAACAATACAGAGAGAAATTACTGGCACCAGACTAGGACAGTAAAATCAGGGAAATTGAATTCTTATATTTATTTCACATATCGACACTTAAAGATTCTTCCAGTGTTTACAATTATCTCCTTTATCTCACGAACAAAGTAGGTGAAGCAAGGCAGTTAATGCCTTTGAAAAGCATTTCTTCCGTTGGCCTTTAAGATTCGTCCATCCATACTATGGTTCTGTTTTGAAGGTGTCTTTTAACACTGATATAATCAAACTTCCCAACTACGAAATGTTTTATCTGCATTTGCAAGATTTGACAATCATGTTTGAAAGCTGTTCAATTTTGGGGGTTTTGCCAATGTAATACAAGATGGTAAGAGGCTCTAAATCTTGAGACACACAGCAAGGAGATGCTGAAGCTTCTGGGTTTATTGTGCTGTACAGACCAATTACCTGTAAAACAAACATGTATATGTGAAACAATAAACATCAAAAGTGAAACATTGCAATATTGAGGCCTGTACCCCTTAATTGTACCTAATACTAAATTAGGGCACTCTGTATTTAAATGCTGTTTAATATTATTGTCTAATAATGTACTCCCTTTATTATTTACAGTTTGAATGCAATGTTTAAAATCCTCCTTCTCTCCACTTTCACTCCATTTTGTGACAGTAATCTGCACAGGTGCCTTTTTCAGATGAGCCATTTAAAAGTCCCAGTCTATTTATAATTTAACAGATGAATAAAACATTATTTAACAGATGATTTCAAAATATTATTTGAATACCGAATGATAGGCTACATCCATGTTTAAAAAGAAAACATGTTTTTTTTCCTCCAGTGTATTGTGATAAAAAAACATTATTTATATACTATATTTATTAAATAAATTATATGACTTCATATTCTCAATAATGCTGTAGTTTGCTTATGTATTTAGGAAAAGTTCACACATGAAAACCACTCACCTTGCTATTTTGAGTATCGGCACTCCATAAATATGGACAAGCCCCTGCGCAAAAATTTGCATTATATCCCTTTGGTTCATGAATCCATTTCCAGCCAAGATCCCTCTTAAAGTCAATGTATAATGGGCGCAAGCAGCAGTTGTCCTGTACATTCCTGTTATTATATTTAAAAAAATATAGCTGAGAAAAACACTTAAAATCACAATTCCTTCTACTTTCAACAATAATATTTTATTTCACCAATGTTAACTTTATTATTTGTTAATATTGAATACGTAAGGAGAGTACACAAAACATTGGTGTGGGTCAAAAGGTGTTTGGGGCTATATAGGTCTTAAGGTTGCATAGAATGGCTAGCATCCCTTGTAAAGCGTGGTGCATATGTATTTCCTTCTTCTTAGGCTTCCCATCGATCAGAGATTCTTGTGCAGACACTTGTTAATGTTAATGACACATAGTTCAGACTATAGGTGACATGTAGGATTGTGAGACAGGTCTCACTGAGCCTTGGACTCAGAGGCTCTGGAACAGGGTGGGAATACACAATGCATCATTATACACGGCCATCTGTATACAGCTAGTTCACAACGGGGAGAGACAAAAGAGTTTGAAATCACATTTGGAGTACACCAAGGATCAGCACTAAGTCCTTTCCTTTTTATAAACATTATTGACACACTGACAGAGGAGGTAAGAACAGAAGTGCCTTGGGAACTCATCTTTGCTGATGATGTTGCACTTATGGCAGATTCAGAAGTAAAACTACAAGAGAAAGTGTTCAAATGGCAGAGGAGTCTTTAAAAGGGTGGACTGAAAATGAATGCAGAAAAATCTGAAATAATGGTAATGGAGAGAAGAGGAGATACTATGACCAATGTTGAGGAGACAAATGGAGGAAAACTGAAACAGGTTGATGGCTTTAAATACCTTGGATCAAAACTGGTAAAGGGAGGAGAAACACTGGAGGCAGTAAAACAAAAAGTGAAAGCTGGATGGAACAAGTGGAGAGAAATAACTGGAATAATCTATGACAGGAAAATTCCTAGAAAGTTAAAGTGCAAAATGTACAAAATTGTGATTAGACCTGTACTACTATACAGAGCTGAATGCTTGGCAGTTATAAAGAGGGAAGAGAACTTGATGAGAAGAACTGAAATGAGGATGTTGAGATGGATTATGCAGATTTCAATGAAGGATAAGATCAGAAATGAAGAAATCCGTAGACGATGTAGGTTGGTGGATGTGGTTGAGAAGATGCGAGAGGCGAGGTTACGGTGGTATGGACATATCATGAGGAGGGACACTGAGGAAGTAACAAAGAGGGTAATGAATTTTGAGGTGGAAGGTAACAGGGGAAGAGGCAGGCCTAGAAAGAGATGGATAGATTGTGTGAGAAAAGATACTGAGGTATGTGAAGTGAGTGAGGAATATGTGCTCGAAAGAGACAAGTGGAGAAGAGCAACCAAAGCAGCTGAACCCAGGACAGTCTGGGACTAATGCTGTGAAGAAGAAGAAGAAGAAGAAGAAGAAGAAGAAGAAGAAGAAGAAGAAGAAGAAGAAGAAGAAGAAGAAGAAGAAAAAGAAGAAGAAGAAGATCTGTATACAGCCAGTTCATGAACCCCGGGTGGTTAGCTCTGCCCAGACTCAAAGCACCAAAGCACCCCCCTAAGAACAAGTCATGAGCCCCTGTTACGGGTGTTTCAAATAGCCCCAGTGATGAAAACTAAGGAAAATTTTGGGGAAGTCAAAGAAGAACTGAAAAAGTGGGAGATCGCAGCTTTGGTCTCAGGTGAGGACTCGGACACCAGGAACTCTAGAAAGCGCAGAGAAGGAAGCCCAGGCCCTGTTTTCTCCTCTACCAAAAACTGGGCTCAAAGACACACGAGGTAGAGGGGGGAGGCACAAAGGACCACACTGATTTGAATTAATATTGATTTTGTTATTTGACATTAATATTGACTATAAAATAGATTGTGTTATATTACAAGGGAAATTTGCAAGCATTTTATTTAGGAATTTTCATTCTTTATGATTTTGAATGCGCATTTTATGAGGAATTTTAACGTGTGAGAAGACAAGTTAACGATAATGTTCTGGTCAGAAAGAATCAAGTATGAGTAGGGGTACAGCAGAGATAATTGTAACAGGGACCATCTACACTTCATTACTAATTTAACAAAATGGGGCATCATTGGAAGAGGGTGAATACTTTTGCAAGGCACTGTATATCACCAGAAAGATTTACAGGAAAAAATAATATAGGTACAACAGAAAACCCTTTTACAGATTGTATCCACATCCATACCTTGAGCAATATGCAGCATCTAAGGCCCTTTTTTTCCTACGGCTGGTTTGTTGAGACTCAAGTCTGTATGATGGAAGCAGCATCAGCAAAAGGTGAGGACTTCTTTCACTGTCTTTCGAATTACGGATGTAGATGTCATCAATACCTTGGAAGATATTAAAGTGCTAAATAGCATTTTAACACATTCCTTCCATTTAGCTTAGCAACTGTATTTCCCTTGTTTGGATAAGTATGCTTGTTACTCTACTCTACTGCTTCAAATTAAAAAAGAAAATGAGAAGACAACTAATTGGTGAGAATTAAACATCTGGTGATTTTCTGGTGCAAGATGGAAACTATCACGCTGTGATTCTTTTCACGCAATTTGAAGATCATTAATATAATCATTTAACCATTTCTTTCATCTACCATTGTAGTAGAAAAGTGTTTGTAAATCTTGTCAAATCTAGAATGATTCACATGTGAAGGAAATCAAATATTGTTGAAAAAATGTTTATGAGCAAAAGGCATGGCATGTGACATTCCTAGAACCCTCAGGTATACATTGCCCATTACCTGTTACTGCATATGCAGAGCTGTGTGCATTCTAAACAAATGGGGTTTGGGTGCAGTTTAGAAGCTATGATTGTGTATGGTCTCTTTCAAGCGAAGGACTGCCAATGGTTAAAGATTAAATTACTTGTCCTATATTATTTTATAATAATATGTCATGATATTGTTCTAATAATTGTTATTACAGTAGTTGTTACAATTGTAACATTCGACACACTATAAAAGAACACATCAGATGTCTTGTAAAAAATGTCCCAACTTTACTTTCTTTTACTATTCCCCAGATTGATACTGAAAAGAAAAATAATACTTAAACCTAAATGATTAGAAAACAATTCAGAAGGATTCATAATCTGGGTCATCTGGGTCATTTTGTTGGATTTTCCCAGGCCAGCTCAGTACAAGTACTGTGTGCTAACAAGGGTAACTAATATCAATATTAATGAAGTCATCCCTCATTATATAAGCTTAATTCAATCCCCGGAAACTACTTATAAGGTGAAAAAATTGTATAATAGAAATTCAGTTTCCATTACTTCCTGTGTTAAAATCTCCTATTGGTTTCAGAACCCACACTCCCACACTTCACCTTACTATAGTAACGAATAGTACCCAAGTATGAAAACAATAACACTTCTGGCTAATTATTCAAGTGAAATGCCACAACAACTGATTTTTGGCATTATAAGAGACCCCGCTTATTCAGCTGTGCTCAGTAAATGAAAAAACAGGTAGGAACTGCTGTTTTGGAAACAAAAACTCATATAGCAGTTACTCTGCTACTGTAATCTATTTGTATATTAATTCAAAACATCTTTTCCATGACATGTTTTTCTAGGTGCAAAACATAATTGGATTCACTTAGACAATTCATATTATGTTAGCACGCTATTTAGATGTTATTCAGTAAATAACCAAGAGTAAATCACATTTACTCACATCTCATGTATCCCTCCTTCATGCCATCTCCACCTTTGTACCTAACCCTTGGTTAACTTCTCATTCTGTATGGGCATCCTAACTTCTAGTTTAGCCTTCACCCTCAGCCAAGATGGTTAAACTAATCTCACTGAACTAAATACTCAGTAAACATCCACAAACACCTAATTCTTGGGTGTTGTTATTCCTTGTGAACCCAGATGTAACCAGGTCTAAACTCTTACAGTAGTCAATTCACAGAAGTACAAATGTTGGTAAAAGCCTACATGTTTTTTAATGTCATAAAAGCACATTACCTTACACATTGTAGTTTTTGCAATTCTTCAACAATGTTGTGCAACAAACAAAAATTCCAGTATAATTGCTATTTAATCATATTTTTATGAAATTTTCCATGGTGAATCTATGAAAGCTAGACAATTTTACAGCACATTTAAAATATACAATATTATCAAAATAAAGTCCACTTAATATGTCTTATGGATGTCTAAATCTAAGAAAACCACCAGTTATTTAAAATAAAACCATTAGTCCAGTACATTAATTAAAGAAAAGTCCCAAACCAAAACAGTAACAGTTTACTTTGAGAACAAGGACATTTTAGGCAATTACCTGCAAATTTGGTTTCTAGCTCCTCACTCTTATTTGGTATGATGTAATTGTTTGAAGGTACAAATGTACAACATGGGCAGTGCAAACTTATTTTGAATCCATTGTTTCTTTCTGGTAAAAAAAAAAACATTAGAATTTAAAATGTTTTATACAATGATATAGTTATATTATGTCTTATACATGTTCACCCCGTATTTAAATCCATAGTGTCAGAATGCATTGCATTCGTAATGTTTTGTGTTGGCCATTTCCACACAATGGTTTCATGACATTATAACAAGACAAAGACTGTACCTGACATCTCTAAGTGCCCCATTTGCAACACAGCCCCATTAACTTCATGGCCTGCTAGTATACAACATAATTAGTTTCAAAGCCATAACAGCATAGTCCCTTCACTGTGTGGCTCATTGCATTGCATTAAACTACAATACATTTAAATGACAAAAAAGAGAGGGCTTAGTCCATGACTTTGAGTAAACCGTCTCCTTTTCAAGTCATGATTGTAAAATCATTGTCACGATTGCTGGATAATGACTATTAAATAATTACATTATTTACTGTTAAATAATAATTTAACAATTAAATAATCTCCTTGGTCATTAAAAATCTTAGGACATTTCTTGAAAATAGTAGGGGTGTTACCCCAGTGTGCTGGCCAAATTCCCCCCCGGGCCTTTACCAGTTATGGCCTCCTAATAATGCCCATCTATGAATTGGCTTCATCATTCTGTTCTCCTCTCCACTGAAAGCTGTGTGGTGAGGGTACTGACGCACTTTTGCTGCCAGGTTGTGCTACAATAGGTGGTGGTGGAGGGAAGTCCCCACTACCTGTAAAGCGCTTTGAGTGGAGTGTTCAGAAAAGTCCTACATACTGTAAGTGTAAATCATTACTGAAACATTATTGAATAGTTTCTAATATAGCAGAAATCATGTCTCAAGTGTCCTTTACTAATTAGAAAAAATGTCCTTTCTGAAGAGAGAAACTTCCAACAGCTGTGTTATGTAACCATTCAATGCTATAAGCAAAACTACACTTGTAATATAGCAGTGCAACAGAAACTACAGTTAAACAGAAACTGTGCTCTGCAAGGTGTTGAGGGTACTCTGTAATAGTCTTTCACTGTACATAAGTGATGTGGTAATGGGGCTGAGGTGCTGAAAGTTAGTACTTGCTGTAATGACCCGTGTCATACTGCACTGTGCAGAGATGTCGGCATGATCTTTGTCGCATGGCAATCTTATAAAACGTATATAACAACTTGTTGAAATCATGGATCAACACACCTCACACAAACTGCACTTTCATTATTTGTTGTACAACTATCCCAAAACACAATGGGTTTAAGATTTTCAGTGTAACTTAAACTAAAAATGTATTTCTAACAATTTTATGAAGACACATGTGCAAAGATCTATAAATTAAGTATTTTACTTCGTTTTTTAGAAACTAAAGTACTTTGGAAGTACTTTAAAGGAGGGCTGGAGACAAGCACTGGGCGCAAAGCAGGACACCCTGGATTACAGTCCATCACAGGGCACACACGGATACAAACACATGTTCACACTCACACCGGGGCCAATTTTTACCAAAGCCAATTAACATACCAGTATGTGGATTTTGGAACTTGGAGCACCCAGAGGAAAACTATGCAATCACGGGAGAACATACAAACTCCATGCAGCTAGAAAACCCAAGGATCTGAATCCAAGACCCCCGTTTTGCAAGGCAGCAATGCTTACCACTGCACCACTGTGCCATCCAGAACATCAAAAAAGTTAAAACTAAGAGGTGGCCTTTCAGCCTATTTAGCTAATTTATCAGTGACTAGCTGAGTGATATGAGGATCTCAACTAGCATTTTCTTAAAGAAAGAAAAGTGATTGGCTCCAACTACATTCTATTTGTAATTAGAAACAGTGTCATTTCTTGCTGCGTGGTGGCAGAAACCATAAATAAAACCATTAATTTCCCCCAAATAAATTATCAATTGTTTCAACCAATAATAACTTGAATGTTTGATTACACTATTAAAATGTCTAATTGGGTAGTCTTAAATGTATTTAGTGTTTTTATATGTTGCTGATTAAAATTAAGAATAAAAATAAATTCACGAAAGCAGAACTTTACAAATAGGATTAGCAATATTCAAATTTTAATAATGTCTGCATTTAACAAAACATTGAGATTTTTAAACAAGATTAGTAGAAATTCAATTTTTAAAGTCTCACCTCTGTGAAGAAGCCACTCACTTACAGCTTCTGTAACGTCAAAAGATAACCACTCTCCCTCCATTTTTGTTTTCACTACTTTACTGTCAATGTATCGTTGGGTTGGCGATGTTAGTTCTTTGTGACCAAGGACCTGTAAGACATGAAAGGCAGATCTGTATTGGTACTGTTCATTGAAATATACAGTAAATGGGTGACAATTCCAACATTATCATTATTTTTAGTTGCATTTTGTGATGCCCCGGGGATGTGGACACCACTTTGGACACTGAACAGGTGAGTTCTTATCGACTAAGACCCCCTCACAGTCTGTTAGAGAAACCTTTTGCTATAATTTTACAGCAGTTTCCTCTGTCACATATACCCTTCTCCAAGGGTAGTGGTATTACTCAGCCCCCTCGTCAGGATAACTAGGACACGAGGCGAAAACTCACTTGTTTTTTATGCTAATTCCATCCGAGATAGTCTACTCTCAACGTTCACTGAGCCCTTGGCTCATGAACTCTCAGATCTATTCACTTTCACCAGTTTGTCTCTTCTGGGTAGTAGGAAGTGTTGGGTAGTAGGGTAGTGGAACATCCTTGACTCGGTTATTTGGCCAGACCTGCTCTATGGCTATCTTTGCATTACTTGCAGGTGGTCACTGCAACCACCTGCAACTATTCGAGGCAGCTACTCACTGTGAGTCTTCCCTGCACCTCTATGTTTCTTAATTTGTCTAGGAGCCTCTCTGTTCCCTGACTGTTCCCTGTCTAGTCCAGATCTCTCTTGGACTTCTCTCATGTAGCCTCCTCCTCTTTCTCTCATTTGGAGACTCTCGTGATCCTTGCTCTCTCCCAGAACGTCTCCCAGAACCACCCCTACTCTGTGGCTCACACACTTACTCACATTTATCACACACCAAAATTCCCACACATTTAAAACCACTTTTGCAGACATCTGTCTACTCAGACAGTCCTGTTCTTTCTCAGAACAGGCTGTTTGCTTTAATGACCAAAGCTCCCTTCTGAACTTTCATTATTACTCACTGCACCTTCTGGGGGCAGTGCTTTCTCCCTCACATAGGCTTACTTTTTCACTCTCCACTTTAGAACAGCCTTTAGAACTCTTCGATTCTTACATAATCATATGAGTCATTAATCCGCTGCTCACACTGCATCCCTCGTGGGGGGGTATTCACACAATTGCAATTGGAATTGTCACTCTCATCTATACCCACGTGGGGGTTTTGAACTGAAACCTGCTTTGTTTGTTGCTTCTCTTTTCTAAATCTCACACACACTGCCACAAGCCTTCTGTTTAGTGTTATTTTATAGGTGGTTGTTACTCAAACACTGATTGTCTTATCAGTCAGAGACTGTCCTCTGCTGTGGTCACATAGAAACACAGTGTCGCCATGGAGAAGCTCCACCCCCGCAGCATTCCTGCACCCTGGGAGGCATTACAATTTATATAAATTTAAATATTTCTCTCCACATTTCTCTGATATTATGTCATCAGGAGCAACTGTCCTTTTTAATCAGATGGGAGTTTTTAGGTCACTTTAATCGCACAATTGTCTGGTACAATTTAATACTCATAAATAAATGTATTTTTTTAAACTGTGTGTAGTTAAAAAATAACTTGGATGAGCTATCTTTTGGAAAAACTTTACTTTTCATATTATTTCATCTACTGAAAGTTTTATATAACACTTTAATGGTTTTATCAACCATAAAAGTCAAAGGGGAAAAACCTCTTAATTACAATGATAACCTGGAGAATACTCATTTATGGTATTGGGTATTTCTTTGGAGCTGTATTCCTTGAAGTAACTTGTCCAAGTGTAAAACAACAGTGTCCTACATGGGATATGAATGCACAGCTCTTTCACAACTCTATGGTCCAGAACCCTAACCACTACTCCACAGTGCTGCAACTAGAAATGGGATTGGTACATCTGCTGCAAGGTAAAATATACACAAGCCCTTTGCCTTTTGCCTCTGATTAGCGAAAAGGATTAGCTTACGTTTGTATAGTGTGTACAGTATTTATTTAAAAACAAAAACCTAGTAATCAGTGCTGGTGTATAGCGTGCATATTGAATTTTCCTTCACTGTAGAGGCCAAAAGAAATTAAGCAACTGGTGATATAAGTCCAATCAACAAATGCTGAATCCCAACCCCAGGAAAGTAGCTGCAAAATGGGCGGTATCCCATCACAACAGCCAAAAGCAATAAGAAGCTTGGAGAAGATGACGTAAGCTTTGAAAATGTAAGAAACTCATGCTAGCACAAAACTGAACATTGTCTTATATGTGTCTAAAACAAATCAGTATGATTACCATGCTTTTAATCTTTACAAAGATTGCCTGCATTGCTTCATATAACAATGATACAGATTAGATGGAGTTACAGATACTATTATAACAGTATACAGTACATTTTACAAGATTTAGACATATAATCAGATCTAGGCAAATAACTGCCAAACAAATACTTAATGCAAGTATCAAGAATGTCCATTTTAAATACCAAACACATGGTCTTAAGCAATACATGAGAAAGGTTACAGGTATTTTTTAATTTACACTGCTGAAATCACAGTGCAAAAATTAAGCTCAGATTTCACTGAACACAGAATTGATTACGTAGTGTACATTGTTTCAAATGTTCTGAACATTTCTGATTGCCTAGATGATATACATAATTTCGGATGATAATTAAAATATCAAGACGCTTCACAGTAACCTATCAAACACTATAATGATGTCGTTATCAATTATTAATTCATATGTGTATTCATTGGAACAGCATCTCATTCTTATATACTGTACAGTAGCAATTATTATAATATTTCTGCCTCACTTGTATGCAACTTTACACTGCCACTGCTACTGCTACCCCCCTGGAAGATTATTATCAACAGTATGGTTTACATGGTTATACAATACCTCAGCTGTCAATCTACAACTGTTTATGTATTGAAATTTAAAAATAAACCCTTGTGTACTGTACGATGATACTGTTTAGCAAAAGCCCCACAAAAAAACCTCCATTATTTAATTAATGTGACAAATCACTTGGCTATTTCTAACTTGTAATTTTATCTTGCATACAAGTACTGTTTCATTCCTGGTACACAAAATGCTGTTGCTGATGGCTTATCTTACTTTCAATTCCAGGAATTCCATAACCTGTGTCTAGACACTGGTCCAGTGGGTGTCTGATATTCAACACCATGTCCCTAAGCTAACCTTTTCCCTCTGTCACACTTTCTATACTTATCAAACCGATATATATGCCAATATAAAATCCAGATGCCAAGGTTACAATTTTGCATGACAACAGTTTTGCATGTTTGTTCATCCTGAAATTAACCTTTATTAATCTAATCTATATTAACATATCTATTAAAATATTCAACATTTCTGCCTTCATCATGGATTATTTGGACAACATTATTTATCCCCAATTTCCACTTTCACAGAGCTTACATGTGCAGTACATGTATACTGTCATATGTGATATGATAACATGGTCTAAAATTACCCCACTATCTATCTATTTATGGTATTTTTACAAATCAAGGCTTTCTTTTTCTAACAGAAAGGCAATATGTTACAGGACAGTACCCTCCAAAACTATTAAGAACGTGAAGTTTGAACTGAGATTTTCTAAGTATTGTTTATTTATAAAAGAAAATTCAGTTCTTCCCTCTTTAGTTACTAAAAATATCAAGAGTGTTGAAGAAATAGGTGTTTGTTGTTGTGTAATAAGGCATTCATAAAAGACCAATGAACATTCTATTACCTTGTCTCACTTTGACATAAGTGTGTAGGGTCTATAATCAATAGTCAAAATGAAAACCAAAGAACCTTATGTTAAAAAAAAGCAGGGAATACTGAAAGAAGAGAAGAACTCAATCAGAACCATAGTACAGAAATTGGGAATATCAACAGTTTTGCAAGACAATGAAGAAGAGATAACTTGCAGGTATACTTACCAACCAGGCAAGAATGGTTCAGCCAATAAATAACCTGTACATGACAACTTTTTTGCCATGGAAGGCTTTGATTGATTCCCTTCTCTATAGCCTGTGTTATTTCTCCCCTGCAGAAATGTGATGTTTCTACAACATGATGTGTTACAATGTCTGGTCCAAATGGAATGTCATACTTAAACAGATTAAGGGAACTTTATCTTTTTTAGTTTAGAGCAGAAACAAAAAAATGAAGGGGCTTTATTCTGGTATTCTCAATCTTGACAGGCACTCAACAAATCAATTCAGAGGAATTAAGATCAACAACAATACAATAACCTAGGAACACAAGTAGAATTAAAGCTTAGAAGCCTTTCAGGTCAGAAGAGAATTGAAAGGTTAAATGCTCAGATTCAATCTTTTGAATCTCATTGAAAGTTAGAAAATAACTCCATAGACAACTCCTTAGTTATTGAAGATGAATGCAAAATTCTTTAAGCTTGTAACAACCAAATACACAAGATGGATTAATAGGTCTCCTCTCACATGTGACCTTTCAGTATATATTACTTATGAACAGTAAAATTCAAAGTAATAAACTGTATAATTGCACAGAAGTTAGTTTTTTCATTTCCTGGACATATTCATGTCTGAAGGGTTAGAAAAAATAATATTAGTTAACACTAGAATGGCAAACAATGATAATGATATTTGTCTTCACTCTCAGTCTACACCACTAAACTTCTTATTACTTTAAGTCTCCTCAGTAAAGTTAATTATGGCAACACATTTACCTCAGACCACTATATACTGTACATGATTCCCAAGTTAATTAAACAGTCATAATAAAACAAAGTCATATGTCTTGTATATTGACTGTTCAGTCTGAGCATTTAACAGAATGTGTAAGCGAAAGGTGAACAGATACTAAATCTTAAGACTACGGTCAGGTCTCTCTTCCAGGTCATATAAAACAAATTTAGAAACAAAATGTCATAGAATGGTAGCATTAGGATAAATTATTGCAATACAATGATTTGCTGTATAACTTAAACAGGAAGCCAAAAATGGAAGGCAAAAAGAATCCTGAAATAGCTACAAAGTCCACTTACTACCTGTACAGGTTAACATTATTAAGCCTGGTACCAAATGCCGAAAAAGAAATTGTACAGA